GAGAGCCTGTAGTCCCAGCTACTTGGGAGGCTGAGGCAAGAGAATAGCTTAAGCCCAAGAGTTGGAGGTTGCTGTGAGCTGTGATGCCACAGAATTCTACCCAGGGCAACAGCTTGAGGCTGCTGCAAAAGAAAAAAAATTGTTAGAATGCTTAGGCATAGTTTTATATTGTAAAGTCATTTAGGGGAGCAGGTGCAGTGCCTCAGGCCTGTGAGCCCAGCACTTTGAGAGGCCAAGGCAGGAGGATCATTTGAGCCCAGAAGTTAGAGACCAGCCTGGGTAAATGTAGCAAGACACTATATATACAAAAAGATAAAGAAATTAGCTGGGCATGGTGGCACACACCTGAAGTCCCAGTTACTTGGGTGACTGAGGGAAGAGGATTGCTTGAGTCCAGGAATTTGAGGCTGCAATGAGCTATAATCATGCCACTGCACTCCAGCTTGGGTGACAGAGAGACTCTGTCTCTAAAACAACAACAAAAAAAAAAACGTCAAAAGTCATTTAGTGAATGTTTTTAATGACGACATATATTCTACTGAATGATATTTTTCCCAGCTAGAAGTACTTTCTTATATGACTTCATATAAATGCTTAGGTATAATTTTATACTGGAAATTACTTTAGCAAATATTTTTAAGGAAGAGATGCTTTGCCACTGAATGATTTTCCACACTGACATGCTTTCTCAGATGAATTCTAAAAGATTTACCTTGGTTTTTACACATTCAAACATGGAATATTAACGCTGTATCAAAGATAACTGGGAATCTCTGGAAACCTGAGCTTCTCCCAAGAGCACAAACACTAGAAAGCCAATATTTCAAGGAGAATTTGGCTCAGAGTTTTATTTCCATTGTAATACACAGGACTTACTTTTCAGACCCTTGCAAAGTTCACAGGGCTTCAAAAGTTACAGTGTGACCAAATTTAGGCTTAAAGCTGAAAAAGCTCATTCAACATCCTGAAAAATGTTTTGAACTCTGTGTGAAAACATTGTTAAAATGTTCTGCAAAACCAGTAATAGTGGACTTAAAAACGAGAAGAGTGGCCGGCTGCATTGGCTCATGCCTGTAATCCCAGCACTCTAGGAGGCAGAAGTGGGTAGATGGCCTGAGCTCAGGAGTTTGAGACCAGCCTGTGCAAGAGTGACACTGTCTCTACTAAAAATAGAAAAACTAGCCAGGCATCATGGTGGGTTTCTGTAGTCGCAGGAGGCTGAGACAAGAAGATTGCTCAACCCCAAGAGTTTCAAGTTGCTGTGAGCTGGGACACTACTGCACTCTACCCAGATCGACACACTGAGACTGTTTCAAATAAATAAGGAGTAGAGTAGTTGGATGTAAGGCTGGCAGGGTGAGGGGACAGGATGAGTGAGACAGATACCCACGGGGTTAGGGAAACTGAGTAGATGCCCTTGAAAATGCTCAATTATCTTTCTCTGCCCATCATATTTCTGTCTTTACCTTTAGGCCTGCACTGCCTGAAAAGAAGGTGGCTGATCTCAGCACGCTGAATGAAGTGGGCTATCAAATCCGAATTTAGCCAAGCCATACCGGCCAGTGAGAGGGTTTCTGTGGTGCTTCTCTCTGCACTTTAGCCAGCATCTTCAGGAGGACTGCAACTATTTATTAAGAGCTTGTGGATTTTATTTTTAAGGACTCACCTAGAAATAGAATCTGAGTGGGTGGTAACAATTAGCTTTAAAAATTTCACTAAGAGGCAACTGTGAAAAGGCTAAGTAATAAGCCCGTTTGGGGTTGGACTGTCTCCCTCACTCAAGATCTTAAGGATAACAATCATAACTGTAGTTTTATATTTTTCCATTTACCTGCTTTCTTTTACTTGCTTTGAACATTACGCCTCACCAATAGAGGATGTTCATGAAATCCTTTTTTGAACTTTTGGTATAGTAAGGTAACTCAAATCAGTATTACTGTCTTTTTCAGCAATAACAGGAGCAAAGATGGGTGGGTTTTTTTAAGCAGTTAATATTACCTCAGCATTCTGACATCAGATATGCAAATTTAACGGTGTTTTGGGTTTTTTTATATTCTATTTGTATTGTTTCCCCAGTATTTCCCAGGGGGATCTCCACAAGTTTGGAGTTTTTTCTTGGTGCACACATATATGTGATTTAAGGTATTATATGCAAGTGTTTTACTAAAAAGCACTGAAATTCTTCTGGCAATACAAGAAACCATTTTCAGGATCTTGGAGTTCTTCTTTCTTAATCTTTCTTAAAGCGTTCACTGATAGTTTTTGTTCTTTCAAAACAAAAAAAGCACATGCAGAAGCTAGTCTATGTTCTGTCACTAACATTTAAACTTTGCAGACTCCAGCAAAAAGTACAAGAGGTCACGGCATGCACTGTTACACAAATTTAGCAGTACTGCAATTACCTCTGACAGTGACACACTTAGGCAGAGACTAGGGATGAATCAGCAGGTCCTGAGAACCAGATAACCTTTCTGTTCACGTTTCACCTGATTTTTAACCTCCTCATGAGGCTTTCATTCTGAAGGACTCAAACAAGCAAACTGTAAGGAAGGGGTTCACTGTTGTAAAGATGTGTCCTGATGTCTTACATTAAGACCAAATGTGACGCAACGTGATTACTCCCCAGCACCTTGCTTTTTAGGTACTGCTTTAGGAATATTGAAAATACAATGAATTAGAGAAGCAGAACTTTTTTTTTT